AGATGCGTGGAATGTAGTGGTCTTAATCCCAGCCTCTAATTTTGCCTGGTTGCAAAAACCCCAATTTTAAGGTTGGAGAACCCTAATCTGCATCAATGGCATAATCATGGATATTGTACAAAAACGAAATTAATTGGCATGGTTAGCATCAGAACAAAGTAACAATCATGAATCAACAAATAAAACGTGAGAAAGATGCTTAAATCATGATGCACGACTCCAAGTTTTCATCTGTACAGTTTTGAGTTATTGTACCACTTTCTTTGCGTTTTGGTCGATGCTAGGGATTGGCACACGTTCAGAGAGTGTCAAGGAAGCTAATGGAATAATTCTTAGGGCTTGAATCGACCTAGAACCTGCTTTTCAGTTTTGACTTTTTTTTCCAAAAAATTCCAAGTTTGTTCTTTAGCTTTTGCGCAGCTTTCATGTCCAAAGGCATTAGGTTTGCATTCCTGATCATATAGTGAATGTGTTAGGGCAACAAAACTAGAGCAAATCCATGGCATTGATGATTTTTGAATATTTGATTTCAAGGATCTTTTCCACATCTTTTCATGTGCATTTTGTGTCAATTTGCATCCAATTAGTCCAAATCTTTCCCTATGAGCATGTACACGAAATATTGAGTCCAAATCATGCATAAAAAGATTTTTTAGGTCAAGCTTTATATTTTTCATGTATTTAAGTAATTTAAATGAATTAATATTAATATAAATTCAAATAAATAATTAAAAATTGAGAAAATACTTCCCCTTGGGCTTAATGGTCGTGCATAGGCTTGGCATGAAGAAACTTGGAAGAAAAATGGGCCCATTAGCATTTTTGGATCATTTGAAGTAAAGTTAACTTTCAAAAATCTCCAAAAATTTCCCAACTTCCACAAGGCATAACTTGCTCAATTTTTAAGCTTTCCACATGTTCTTTGACATTTTGGAAAGGTCTTTGAGTCCTTTAACCAATGCCTTTGGTCCCATGTCATTTTGGTTTACCAATCTCAAGTTATGGCCTTTGACTTAAAGTCCCTTTTTGTTGACTTTTGAAAATGACCTATAATGTTGAAATTGATAACTTTTTGTGAGAGCATTTTTTGGACTTGGAATATGAAGATGAATTGTAGGAAATGTCTTTCTCTTCAAAATGAGCTTTGGATTGAATTTTTCTGATAATCCATGTGAAAGTTATGCCCTGGTCAATTTCGGTTGACTTTTTCAGCTGTCCAAATATAGTAACTTTTGCATCTTGATGATTTTCTGAGCCAAATTTTGAGAATCATGATCAAGCATTGATCAAATGATGTTTGTGGCTTCAAAATGATGTGTTGACCAAAAATTTGAACTTTTGACTGTCAAATGACCATTTTGCCCCTACAGTTGACTGTAGTGCAATCTAGGGTTTTGACTGTGCAATTTTGAGCTGAATGCCTTGAAACTTGATATGAGGATATTTGACCATGTTTGTAGGCATATGAGACTTGATTGGGCCTTTGAAACCTTCAATTTCTTGATCAGGACTCAAACCCTAGTTTTGACTGTATGAGAGACTGTTGCACTGCACAACCCTTGGGGAATTTTGTGACCTGGCTTTGACAAATCTTGGAGAATAGGGGAGGGCAAATTTTGGGGTACAACAACACCTATTATATTTCCTTATCATTCCTTTTATAATGTTAAATGCAAACCAAACTTAGTTTCTACAAGCAATTATATTTCCTCATGTAATAATGATCATCTTAATAAAACTTATCCTTCTGTCATTACTCCTATTACTACTAATTTATCTACCAATAATTCTATTCCTTCTCGGTGTTATAATGTTACATCATCTCTATATAATAATAAGTATCATTTGTGCCATACTCGCTTAGGTCATCCTCACCACCATGCCCTTGCAGAAGTACTTAAGATTTGCAACATACCCACACCTTCAAAACCACCTAATGAATTATGCCCTCCCTATTGCTTAGGAAAATCCTATAGACTCCCATCTTCCCTTTCCACAACTGAATATCATCAATCCTTTGAGATGGTTGTGTGTGATCTATGGGGACCAGCTCCAATTCAATCATCTAGTGGCTATACCTATTTCCTAACCTATGATGATGCTCACTCTAAGTTTATGTGGGTTTTTCCACTCAAACTCGTGTCTGATACTCTCACCCAATTTGTCCATTTTAAATCCATGGTTGAGCATTAATTTGGTTGCAAAATCAAGAGTGTCCAAAGTGATGGTGGCGGTGAATTTCTCCCTTTCACAAAGTATCTTACTGAGCTTGGTATCATTCATCATTTCACCTGCCCCCATACTCAGCACCAAAATGACATAGTTGAAAGAAAACATCGCCACATTGTTGAAACTGGTTTATCCCTCCTTGCTCAGTCCAACTTACCCCTCAAATTTTGGGACCACGCCTTCATTATTGTTGCCTACCTTATAGACTATATTCCTAGCCTCACCCTATAAAACCGATCTCCATACTCCATTCTTATGCACAAAATCCCTGACTAGTCTCTTTTTAGGGTGTTTGATTGTGCATGCTTCCCTTTCCTTAGACCCTATAATGCCCACAAACTTGCCTTTAGATCTCAGTAGTTCATTTTCTTAGGCTATTCCACCTCCCACAAAGGGTATAAGTGTCTTGGCTCTGATAGTTGTATTTACTCTTTCATGAGTCTAGATTCCCTTACTTGGAATTCTTTCCCACCTCTGTGCCAGCCATATTTATGCCTTCTTCCTCTCACCCCTGGCTTATCCCAAATGCATCTTTCTCTCCCACTCCCATTAATCAAATTAATCATTCACCATCCACTCCTCCTACACCATATTCATCTATCAATAGTACTCCCAATGCTACTCCTTCCCTATCTCCTCCCACCTCTCAATCCCATTTTGCCACTACAAGTACTGCTTCTTCCAGCTCTGACACAACTGAAGCTAGAACTTTCTTTCCTTCTTCATCTATGTCTCTATCACCAACTGCACCTCTCCCCAGTGTACCCTCACACTCTCGGCCTTTAGTGCATCCTCTTAACACCCATGCCATGCAAACTAAGGCTAAACATGGCATAGTTAAGCCTAGACTGCACCCACCTTTCTCCTCACCAACATGAAACCTACAACTGTTAATCAGGCCCTGTCCCCTCCTTACTAGTTTCATGCAATGAATGATGAGTATCATGAACTTTTTAAGAATCAAATTGGGACATTGATGTCTCTTCCTTCCACTAAGAAGCCCATTGGCTATAAATGGGTGTTCAGATTCAAAGGAAACTTAGATGGCCCTGTCAACAAGTACAAGGCCAGACTTGTTGCTAAGGGTTTTCATTAACAGGCGAGTAGTGAATATAAAGATACATTCTCTCATATTGTGAAACTAGTCAATGTCAGAACTATTCTTACACTTGCAGTTACAAATAAGTGGTGTATTCAACAAATTGGTGTAAATAATTCCTTCCTCAAGGGCATACTTGAGGAAGATGTTTATATGCAGCAGCCCCTGAGTTTGAATCAGCTGATAAGTTATTGGTCTGCAAGTTAAACAAGGAACTCTATAGCCTTAAACAGGTCCCTAGGGCCTAATTTGAAATGTTAAAAAGCTCTCTGACACAACTTGGGTTTCAGGCCAACAAGTATGATCCCATTTTATTTATGCTTAGCTCCAACACCTTATCTATTATGGTCTTAATCTATGTTGATGATATCATCATCGCTGGAAATTATTCTTCATTTATTGACAAACTCATCACAGAGCTGAATATTAAGTTTGCCCATAAACAACTTGGAAAACTGGATTATTTCTTGGGCATTGAAGTCTCTCATCTCCCAAATGGCTCATTACTCTCGTCACAAGCCAAATATACCCATGACCTTCTAGCCAAATATAATATGGCATCTTCAAATGGTATTCCCACACCTATGATATCTAGCAAGAAACTATCTAAGTTTGGTTCTAATGTTGTTCCTGATCCCACTCACTTTAGATCTATAGTTGGGGCCCTTCAGTATGCCATCATAATAAGGCCAGAGATTTCCTACTCAGTTAATAAATTTTTTCAATTTTTATCTGTTGTACCCCAAAATTTTCCCTCTCATTTATCAAATATTTTCTCACAAGATCTCCTTTGGTTCAAGAATGCACAAGGATTGATCAACTCAAGACACCTCCTTAAGCACTGATGACTGAAATTAGGGTTTGAAATTGCACAAGGGTAATTGAACTTTTAATGCCTCATACACTACAAGAAAAAAAGAGATTTACGACACATAAATTGCGACAGTTCCCACAAAACCGTCCTTATTCCTGAATTGCGACAGTTGTCACGACGGTTAGGCTCAACCGTCGTAGATTTTCAAGCATTATGAGTCACTTTCTCCTAAGTTCAACCATCTTTCTCTCTTCGCCTATTCAAATCGATGATGAGCCACTTCGCAACGCCTCCACACGCCCTCAGAATCTTTCAATCTCTGCTCATCTCGCTCAAATAGAGAATCGAAATAAAGGGAGAAATAGAGAAGGTAAATGGGAAGGAATTAAGCTACAATGAATTTGTTGAAAGATAATCTATTTGCAAAAATGTTTCTCAAGTAGTTTTTTTCTACACTTACATTACATTTTTTGTATTGTAATAACTTCTCTATTTTTGCACTAATTCAATAAAAAATTTAATATAATTTCGAGTTTTGCAAAAAAAAATGTTGATTTTTTTTATATCTCATCTCACACGACAAAAGGAAAAGGAAGGAGTAAACAGCATCACGTGCGTTGTCCATACTCTCTCTCTCTATCAACCCGTCCCACCAATACAGCGAGATCCCCTTCGACACACCGGTATGTAAATGTAACCCACTCTGAATCCTAGACCAAAAATAAAATTTTAAAAAATAAAAAAAATAATAGCTTACGATTTCAAGGTTTTGTTTCGAACGCAGTATAATCCGATTCCGGTTTCCATGGAAACAATCTCAAAGATCTAGCTTCTAGCAGACGATTTTTTTTTTTGCCGATGGCGATCCTCTATGCCTTGGTTGCCAGAGGCACGGTGGTTCTGGCGGAGTTCAGTGCCGTCACCGGCAACACAGGCGCCGTCGCTCGTCGGTTACTCGAGAAGCTTCCTACCGAATCGGATTCCAGACTTTGCTTCTCTCAAGATAGATATATCTTCCACATACTCCGATCCGATGGCCTCGCGTACCTTTGTATGGCCAACGACACCTTCGGAAGTGAGTAGCTCGCCGTTCTTTTGTTTTCTTGATTTATTGTTTTTGACCTAATTGCTTTAATATCCAATTCTAATGTTTGTGCTGAAAAAATGATTATGGAAGGATCAGTATTCTTTCTAGAATGAAGATAGGGTTTACTTGGAGTAGTTTTGGTTAGTTTCTTTTGTTTAAACTTATAATGATTATATGATTGTTATATATTGAAAATGAACTGTGTTGGTGTGGTGAAATTGAAAAAAAAAGGTGTGATTGAAGTCTGCATCATTGTTTATGTGTTGTTAGTTAGTTCATCTATTAAGAGATTCAATTGTGTTGCGGAGAGGTGTTCTTCAGAGGTTTTTCTGGCTTCTGTTGAGTGTTTGGAACTGATCAGGCTTGATACTGCAAATTATGCAACCGCGTTAGAAGCAGAATCAAACAGAGGCTTCATTCAATTGGCATCTGAGGAACATGGTGTGGCACCGTGTCTGATGCTGTCATTGCTTTTGAATGACACTTTTCCGTAAGGTAAAAGGGAGAAGAACAAACCAGTGATGCTAACTGGATTAATGGACAATCATTGGAAGGCTTGCACTGATTGGGTTAACCCTAATGGAAAACCTAATCTCCAATTTTTCTCCACTCATTTTGGTTCCTCCAAAGTTCAGGTTGATAAATTGTTACTTCTAAGTTAATTTCCTTAAAATCAATATTTAACATTGGTTGTTGGATATAATTTGTTGGTGATTATTGGTGATTGTAATTTGTAGTTACACTCAAACTTTGTAAGATTGAGATTCCTTTAACTCGTTTGAAAATTTGAAATGTTGATGCTATCAGCTGATTGAAATTTTGGTCATGGAAAGATTGCAGACTGTGATACCAGAGATTTTACTGATCAAAAAAGGGAGGACATGTTGGTTTCCGATTTCGTTCGACTTTGCTTTAAATATGAAGGTTCTGCAGTTCAGTGCAGTAATCAAATTGGTGTAAGTAATGGTGACTCTGCATCTGTACCGTATTTGAAGGATTAGCATTTTGTGAAGGTATCATTTTTGGCTTTTCATCACTTTATCATTCATTGTTGTACATTTGTAGTGCCTTTTCATAATTTACTTTGAAGTCTGCCCCTGTCAACCTAGATAATCCTCTTGTTGCATTAGAGTTATCATATGTTATGTTATACTACAGATGATGATTTACTAAGTAATTTCTTTTTCTAACTATTGCAGGAGTATCCTGATTACGTACCATACATCACTCCGATGTTCTTTTGTGATGATTGGCTCAACTTGTATCTCGATAACTTTAGAATGAATACTTATTCCGACAGAGACCAGCAAAATAAGGAAATATGTTGCTCTGACTATCGTTTTGTTTACATGGGAGTAAAAGGTGTGATTTTAGTTGGGAAGAAATCTTGAAATGACCATGAATCTCAGATGATTCTGCACTTTTCTATGCGAAGAGATGAGCAATCCAACAGTAACTTCTTACTTTCACTTCTTCTGGCAGGATCTTGGACTCCTCTACATGCTGATGTTTTCAGAGCAGCTCCGAAGGCTCTTCAAATTGATGAAGATGGTGAGAAAATCAGATAGCAATCTCTTCAGAAACTTAGGTACGAATACCTCACTTTCTCACTTTGAATTCACATTTCATTGGTAATTCATCTTCTTCAAATCTCTTCCACGAATTTGCTTCTTGTTTTTACTACAGTGTTATATGGAATTATTGTCCTGTGTGATTTGAAAATCATTGAACATGATGATGATGCAGTTTTGATGAAGTATGCGTGATGTTGATTATCGTTGTTGAGAAGCCGATTCGGACTTGTTGATGAAAATGATTTTGTGTAGAGAAGCAGTTAGAGAGTGAGTTTTGGAGAGATGAAGTTCTGAGAAGAGTTTCGGATGTGTGCAGAACGAATTGTTGAAGTTTTAGAAGTGAAATCGTTGAAGACTCATAGAAGATTTTTTGTAATTCTCTCAAGTTGTAGCAAACCAATGTAAATATTAAAATGAAATTTGGCCTTTGATGATATTTGAATTTTTCTTGTTTATTGGTAAAATTTGCACTTCTTTTTACCTTTGATCACATTTTTTTGATATTATTGATGATTATTTGATATTAAATGTTTTTATTGTAATTAACTTTATTATGTTGAAAAGTGATAGAAAATAAAATAAAAATACTATAAATAAAAAAATATTAAAGTAAATAATAATTTAAATATAATAGTAAAATATTATAGTAAAATAATATTATATTTAAAATTATTTTACTAAATAATAATTTAAATAAAAATATTATTTGAAATTTATAAATCAGATTACGACGGTTAAAACCGCCGCAATTTCTAACCTACGGCGGTAGAATAACCGTCGCAAACAACAACAAAAACAAAAAATAAAGTCAAATTCACGACGGTATATAACCGTCGCTATCTGTTGTGCGTGACAGTTTTTGCAATCGTCGCGAAATAGGCTGGGGACGCACGATTCTGCGACGGTACTTCTACCGTCGTAGATTGTAAATTGCGACGGTTTTAACCGTCGTAATCAGCCAAAATAACCGTCCCAATCTATCATTTTTCTTGTAGTGATATGACTTTCATATATCATTATGGACCCCCAAGATTTCTCATATAAAGTTTCAAGTCTTGGATCACATTTTTGCCCAGTCAATTGAGCAGTTGACCTAAAAATCAATTGTATTGGGGAAAAAGTTAATTGTGGCCAATTTACAGTCAAAATTCATAATTTTTTACCCATATCAATATTGTGAACTCATATATGTCATTTGATCAAGTTTGTACCACAATTCCTCAAGAAATTTGATCAGATCATCAAAAGGGCAAAATGGTCAAAATTAGGGTTTTAACTGAGAAAGGGCAATTGCTGATTTTTGACCTAGCAAATGGTTATTTTGTTTGAGACATGATCTCAAGGTTTCAATTGCATCATTTTAACCTAATGGCATGACTCACAACATCCCTCAAGATCAGTTGATTGATAGTTGATTTTCAGTTAACTGATCAAAAGTCAACTATACACTGAAAAGTCAAACTTTGACTTTTTTTAGTTAAAATAAAGTGTCAAAGATCAAAATTCATCAAAACATGTCAAAATATGAAACTTGTTCATCAAGAAATCAAAAAGTCAATATTTCATTTTGAAAAGTCAACATTTCCAAACTTAGAAATTTTCCTAAGTGTTGAAAACTTCATATTTTTTCACAACTTTGAGCCAATTTTTCACCATGATGCAAGATGATTCAAAGGAAACTTTCAACATGAAAGTTGTAGATCTAAATGAGATCTAAAACATTTCTTTACACAACTTATCCTATAAATTCATGGATTTCAAGTTATTATTTTGTGTATACATGTTCATGAAACTAAACACTTAGTGAAAATTTTGCCCTAGTTTAGGCAGGATTTTGACCTAACTTCATGGTAATTTTTCACATAGTTCCAAGGAGAATTTTCAAAAGTGATTAAAAGAGGGGTTTTATAGCATATTACAATATTTCTAAAATGTCCAAGAACTCCTTGAGATCATGTTTGAGCAAGGAGAATCGAAGACATGAAGTTGGCATTTCATTCTTGAATTATAGGTCATTTTCTTGAAGAACAAAAATTCAAATCCATGTTTAGGCTGCACAATCTTTGATTTGCAAGCCTCAAATTTGTTTAGCACTCCATAATTAATGTTTTTCACAGCTGTTAGAGGCTTCAACTCAAGCATTCAATGCATTGTCCATGCTTTATTTCCATTTTAGGAAGAAAGTGCACAATGCCATTTTGAAAAAATAGCTTTATGCACAAAACTTGTTCTTGAGCTTTGCACTTGTTCTCTTCTGATCATACATGACCTATAACCCAAAAGAAATTTGTCTCAAGCCTCTAACAAGTCAGCCCATGCTTGTACTTCACCTTGAAACCATGTTTTCACTTTTCTTCAAAATCAAGTAACATAGCAATCAGTCTATATCTTGTACTTCTGACCCTCTCAAGTACTCAAACCTTATCCTTACTTATGCACAAGACATTTGCATCAAAATGGAGGCATGCTTAAGCTCCAAAACACACAAGAACTCAGAACTATAACAAAAAACTCAATTATTGCATAATCTGACCAAAAACTTGAAACTCACATTTTCCTCGTGTGTTTTCAAGCCTTTTGGTTCCTAAAGCTTCTAAACATAAAATACAACTCATCCCTGACCCTGTTTCATAACTGTAACATCTCCATCATCAAGTTCCATTTTCAAAAACAGAGCTCTGCAAGTTGACTTCTCCAGAACTCCTCAGCCATTTTTAGCTCAAGCCAAGCATCACACTAGCTTCCTGGGAACTTGAGGAAGCTAACCCAATCACTGGAACTCATCAAAAGCTTCTCAAACTCAAAACACAATACCCTCTTGCAAGGTGAGTTTTCAGACTTTTGAACTCTTCATATATGCATCATTAATGTTTAATTTGTGAATGAAAAATATAGATATCATTGCCCTAAAGCTAACCATGTCCATAATTTTCATTTTTGTTGCTTGAGCTTAGAGAATTTTAAGACTGGAATTTCTGGAAAAGTTAGGGTTCAGATTAGGGACATTTAAATTCATGTTTGTCTTTGATCTATAGTTTTAATGCTTTACATTTCTGAAATCGTGAGGAAATTTGCCACAAGATTCATGCTTACACTTTTGCAAATGGATGAGAAATGAATAAGATGTAGGTGGTATGGCTAGAGGTTGAAGATGAAGTTGTCTTCAGGAAGTAGTTTCTAATATATATTTATGGTTTGATATAAGTAAACTGATGTATAGCCACTCCAGTGGTAGAAGCGTGCACCTTTCACCTTTAGGACCTGGGTTCGAGCCCCATCGTCCGTTTTCTCATTTTTTCTTTCATTTTTTGTTTCTTTTTGTTTTGTAGCTAGCACGTCTGGGCCCTTTCCCTTGGACCTAATTCACTTTACTCACTAATACCCCCCTGTTTTGCTCATGTCACGCAGCCCACATAACTTTTTTTTATTTTTTTTGATTATACAAAAAAATGGCCTTGGGCCTAATTTCTCAAAAGAATTACTTTCTAACCTCTCTTCTAATTTTCAAACCCCCGACTTCTAACTTTTATTTATTTTATTTTATTTTATTTTATTTTATTATTACTATTTTTAATCAAAAATACCACAAATATTTTATTTAGACTAAAAATTGTTATATTTACTTTATTTTTTCTTTTAAACAAAAGACCAAAAACATTTTCTTAATAAATTCATTTCTTTCTTAATAATTAATATTTAGGTTTGATTATTATATTATATTATTTTTCTTGTAAATTAAAATTAATTTAGAACTCGGGACTTTTATTTGATTAATTTTATTTACTAGTTTAATTAAATTCATAAAAAACCCTAAAAAACTTGTTTTCTTTAATAAATTAATTTCTTTTATTAACTTAATTTTTTTTTATTCTAGTCAATTATTTTAATTTAATTAGGACAAAACCTTCAATACAAAAATACATTCCTTATCCATACTTGTACATTATATTCATTTCATTTCTCGTACATTTATTCAAATTCAATATGGTTGTAATAGATAATTAGGATTTTAATTTCTTGCAATTCCCCATTTGTAATTTGTACACCCCCTCCCCTAATGATGTAATATCTTAGTATTTTTATTTTCCGCAATTTAATGCTTTATATACAAATGCTAGTAATTAGGGTTTGTACGGAAAAATTAAAACCAACAAATAGAAAACCCTAATCAAGACAAAGCAATGCATGTAAATCAATACACTTGCACACTTACACCCTTAGGGTAAACCCACTTTGTTGCCTTACAAAAATGGCCATATTATGCATGCGAGGTATCTTAGAAAAAACAAAAAAAATACAAGATCATAGTCCATCGATGACGCTATCAAAGTTACCTTTCAAAAATGATCTTAGTCCCTTAAAGAAAATGCTAAGATATCTTACAATATTGCTAATCATGGCTATACTATGACCCTTTCCCGTCCCTTTTACATCCAAAGACGGGGTTACTTACCAAATCAATGGTAAGATAACAATGTCAAAGGAAAGAGGAAATAAACATGAAAGACTTTTGAGTAGGTAAATTGTTTCTAGTTGCTTGCTCAATTTCAAACCAACCATCCTTGCTATTTTCAAAACAAACACCAACACTTTCAAAAACATCTTTCAAACTTGAAAACATTTTCAAAAGATCAACACTTTGTATACATTCTTACGAACGAGAATCATTACAAAATTTGCCTAAACAATGGCGCCTTTTCAAAATACTTTCAAAAACCACACAAAGCACATTTTCAAACAAAAGCAAGTGATCTAGCAAGCAACTAAGAGCCCGTGGAAAACCATAGATGGAAAGGGTTCTAACACCTTCCCTTTTCATAATCTACCCCCTGAACTCAAGAAAACATCTCAAAGGTCTTTCCTGTTATTTTCAGCCTTTCCTTTTGGATAAAAGAAAAGTCGGTGGCGACTCTTGCTAACCGCAACATTTGTGATAAAACGCAAAATGACCAAGCCAGTTCTCCCACCGCGTTACATTATCCAATCCTCTTGAG